GAGGAGAGGAGAGGAGAGGAGAGGAGAGGAGAGAAGAGAAGAGAAGAGAAGAGAAGAGAAGAGAAGAGAAGAGAAGAGAAGAGAAGAGAAGAGAAGAGACTGATAGTGGCAAAATACTCTCCTCAAAAGAAGAACCCTGTAATTGGTTAACCAATAACAAATGGTCACCCTAGAATATATATGCACACAAGTAACACTGATTGAACTCAGCAAATTGTTTTTATATAGTTATTAATTTGTATAAGTATATAATAATAATTATCACAGAAAAAGAGGCCATGTATTTATATTAAGAGGGAGGTGGGTACATATAGGAGAATTAGGATGAAAGACAATGTAGGAAAATATGATCACATTTAATTTTTAAAAATGTAAAACATTTCTAATCAAAGTCATTCCTAATACAAATTACAGCTACAAAGAGATATCACTTCATACTTGCTAACGTGGCTATAGTATTGACTATGTTCTTTGCCTTACAGAAGTTTTCTGGTTTCATGAAGCCCCATTTATCGATTCTTAATCTTAGAACATGAGTCATTGGAGTTCTGGTTAGGAAATTTCCCCCTGTGCCAATGAGTTCAAAGTTCTTTCCCACTTTCTCTTCTATTAGATTCAGTGTATCTGACAATGTTGAGGTCCTTGATTCACTTGGACTTGAGCTCTGTTTGAGGGGACCAATGTGATCTATTTGCATTTTTCTACATACAGACAGCCAGTTAGACCAGCATCATTTTTGAAGATGTTTTCTTTTTTTTCATTGTATATTTTTGACTTCTTTGTCAAAGATCAAGTGCCTGTAAGAGTGCAGTTTTATTTCTGGATCTTCAATTCTATTCCATTGATCAACATGTCTGTCTATGTACCAATAATATGCAGTTATTATCACTATTGCTCTGTAGCAAAGATTGAGGTCAAGGATGGTGATTCCCCAGATGTTCTTTTATTGTTGAGAATTGTTTTCACTATTCCTGGATTTTTGCCTTTTCAGATGAACTTAAGAATTGTTCTTTCCATGTCTTTGAAGAATTGTGCTGGAATTTTGATGGGAGCTGCATTGAATCTGTAGATTGACTTTGGTAGAATGGCTATTTTTACTATATTAATTCTGCAAATCCTTGAGCAAAGGAAATCTCTCAATTTTCTGAGAACTTTTTTGATTTCTTTCTTGAGAGACTTAAAGTTATTGTCAAACAGGTCTTTCACTAGTTTGGTTAGAGTTACCCCAAGATATTTTATATTATTTGTGCCTATTGTGAAGGGTGCTGCTTCCCTCATTTCTTTTTTCGCCTGTTTATCATTTGTATAAAGGAAGGCTATAAGATAAATTGGCAACCTAGAGATTGGTAAAAATCTTCACTAACCCCGCATCTGACAGAGGGCTAATATCAAAAATATATAAAGACCTGAAGGAGATAACCACCAAAATATAAACAACCCAATCAATAAAACAGGGTATAGAACTAAACCAAGAATCCACTACAGAGAAATATTGAATGCTGAAAAGCACCTAAAGAAATGTTCAAAGTCCTTAGTGATCAGAGAAATGCAAATCAAAATGACCCTGAGATTCCACCTTATATCAGTCAGAATGGCTAAGATCAAAACCTCAGGCAACAGCACAAGTTAGCAAGGATGTGGAGAAAGAGGAACACTCCTCCATTGCTGGTATGATTGCAAACTGGAACAATTTTCTTCAGAAAATCGGAAATAGATCTACCTGAAGACCCAGCAATATTACTCTTGGGAATATACCCAAAAGATGACCCACCATGCCACAGAGGCACATGTTCCGCTATGTTAATAGTGGCCTTATTTGTGATATCCAGATGCTGGAAACAACCCAGCTGTCCCATGACAGAAAAATGGATACAGAACATGTAGTTCATTAAGACAATGGAATACTACTCAGCTATTAAGAACAAGGACATCTTGAGTTTTACAGGCAAATGGAACTAGAAAATATTGTCTTGAGTGAGGTAACTCAGACCCATAAGGACATGCATGGTATATACTCACTAACAAGTGGATATAGGCCAAAAAAGTAGAAAATACACAAGATACAGTTCACAGAACACAAAAAGGTCAACAAGCTGAAAGGCTCAAATGAGAATGACTAAGTCCCATTTGGGAGAAGTAAGTGGGGAGAGAGGGAGAGAAATGAGAGCAAAAGTGGGCAATGTGGAGGAGAGGGAAACCTGATCTGGTATTGGGTGAGGGAAAAGGACTGAAACCCTAAGGGCCAGCAGAAAGAATGGAAACAGGCAACCTTGGGAGGTAGGATGTTTGGGGGACCCTCCAGAATGCATCAGAGCCCTGGTAGGTGAGAGACTCTCAAGACTCAAAGGGAGGGACCTTAGATGAAATGTCCTTATGGTAGGGAGAAAGACCACTCCAGCAGGAAGACAAGGCATCCAATGAGAAAGAGAGCTGCCATGCCACTGTCAAAACTCTGACTCATAATTGTTCCTGTATGAAAGAACTGCAGGGATGGAAACAGAGAGAATCCTGAGGAAAAGAAGGCACAGAGACAGGTCTAAAGTGGGATCCAGCTCATGGGGATCTCCCAAGGC